GCTGAACGGTTGAACAAAACCATCATTGTAGTCATTTAAGTCATTCAATGTCATTGAAGTCAGTGAATTTTTAATTATGTTAAATGGAATATTGATATCTTGATATTTCAGCATTCTCATAAAAGCTTTTTTTCTTTAGTGGGGCACATAAATGGAATATTTATGAATGCTCTTTATAGTGTTTACATGATCCCTTGGTATTAAAGTAGCATTACTGAAGTAGTTGTTAGCTCCTTCTGCTTAACAAAGCCAGAAGATTAAAACAAGATCGTTTGGTCATATACAGAAAAGATTCCCACTAATATTAGGTCAGATGTTGTATTTTTCAACTTTTTAGAAGTTGCACCTGGTAAAATAGAGTGGTATGTTGCAGGATGCTTTATATTGCATAAATGTAGCGGGAACTGGTTTTGCCATTAGGGGTGGATTATTCTAAGAGTAGTTTCCTGATGACTTCATAGTAAATTCCAGCTGCCCAAAGAGTCATTTTCCAGCATTGGTTATCTGTAGTGCACTTGCACAAAATTACACTTAAAGGGCACTCTTAGTGCCCTTGGGACTTATAAACCAAACTTTATCAAATCTTTAGTAAATACAGAATTCTTTGCTTTTGTTCTGTGGCAGTGGTAACAGTATGGGCACTACTGTAGTTTGTGATTCTGGATTAAACAAATAAAAATTACATTATGCAGGGCAAGAGAAATGGAAGTCTGCAGTGCAACTTTCCTGTCATGAAGGGATAGATAGCACAATGGTTCTAAAATATTTTTTTCTAGAGATTTTTTAGGCTGGTGACATGAAGATAAGGACGTACAGATTGCGGTGCCCTACCTGAAATGGCACTCCTCCCTGTCCAGTGGAGCTTTTTGAAGGCATGGGTAGCCACAGAGCTGCAGAGAATGCTGTTTGAGAAGTTGGTCTATGGGAGTAGAGATTCATTTTTGCATGGGATGTTAATATGTAGGGCAATATGTCTTTCCTAGTGTAAAGCTGGGTTGATTACTGTTGTTTGGTGACTTCTTGTTTTTAAATGGTAGCTGAATTGCTTTAGGTAATGTCTTGAAGGCTGCATTAGAAATTATCATGCCTAGTCACAAAATTCGAAGGGTCTTTCCGAGACTTAGGAAGCCATAATTAATATGGAGTCAAACATTTCTGGCAAGTGCTGTATTTCAAATGCATATTAATATATATTTAATGAAGAATACATGATCCTATCATTGATCCTTCGACAAATCTTGTAGCAGGAAAATCAAACATTGGAGTTTTACTAGTTTGTTGGACCCTAAGAACATCAGATAACTATTCTCTGCCAATTTCTTTCTAGCAAATTATGGTACTCTGCAGGGATTTTGAATAACATGTTGTTCCAAGGATAATTAATTTTAATAATGAACTTTATGAGCTGTATTTCTCTATATATATTGAAAATGTTTTTAATGAACTTTCACAACATGTCTGTGAATTGACCAGCTTACCATCATCACACTTGCTTTGGGAAGGAGAGTGGCAGCAATGGGGAAAGTCGGCAGATTAGCTGTTAGTAGAGTTCAAGATCTTCCATCTCTCTGCTCTAGTCGTTGATTTCTCCTGCACTCACTGATTATCTACTTCTAGTTACCCACAAGTGTAAGAGTCCGCCAAGTCAAGACCTATGATGCAAATCCAGCAAAAACTAAGTCATTGATTTCTTTCATTCTTTTGTTCTTCTCAATGTTCACATGTAGCTGTGTCTGCTTACTGGTGTTGCTTTGTTCTCCCAGTGAATTTGTTGAAAGTCTGTGTTAGGTGCAGTTAGCTTCCATCCTTATTGGTCCCAGAAAGTCTTACAGGAATGACCTGCATTATCATTTAGAGTGTAGATCCAACATATATCCAATGCAGCCATCTTCTCTGTGGAGTAATCTTCAGGTTTGTGACTTCTTAGACTTCCTTAATGACAATGAAGCCTTTCCAGTCCCTGTAAACTGTTCCACTGAGGCTAACACTAGTTTGGGTCAGTGGTTGCTTGTCTTGTGCATTTGACAGAGCCACAGATTTTTCATTTGCTTTTTAGCGTTTTAAATGACTGGGTGAGGTGGCTTTACGGGAATGATTTTACATGTCTCAGAAAGTCAGGTGGACCTGATGAAAATGAGTGATCTGACTGTTGTTTCTGTAGGGGCACAAGTGTTGTACCAGGCCTCCTTTTCACTCTTACACAGTGCTGGAGATTTTGGAGGTTTATGGATTTTTGTGTAAGACTGATACCTCAACACTAGGATTCCTGCACCCTTAGCTTTTCCATAATCCTCATTTTGAAGAGGTTATTTTGATCCATGTTCAGGAGAATATTCTTTCTCCTCTGGAGAAAGTTTTGAAGTGATGGAAGCACGTAAAAAAAAAATAGTTTTGTTTGCTGAGAATAACTCAATTTGATCCCAGACAATTTGTAATGAAAATACTTTTTTCCTCACTAATCCAATGTTGCAATAATTACAAGCAGCAGCTCAATAGCGGGAAGTATAGAATTGGAAGTGTTACTTCAGATATTGAGCCACAAATTGATCTCCCTGTCAAACCTTAAATAAGTGCTGTATCAACACATGCTTCAAAGACTGGAGGACATTCTGAAATGTTATAGTTACGTACCAAAGTAGGGAGAACAATAATTTGTTTTGTGCAAGTGTATTAACACTTTACAGCCCTAATCTACACAATCCTGCTATTATCTTAGTACGTTTTGCACTCACACATTACTTCAGTGATTTATGACTGTTTTTCCACTTGGGTCCGATAACATATGGGATTATCTCTGCATAATAATGATCCTCACTTGAATTAGAAGGAACCACCAGTACTTGCACATAATCCAACATGTCTTATACAACTGTCAAAGTATTCCAGCATTTATATGGCAGATTTTCTAATACAAGTCAGTTATTGACCCAAATAATTCTTTCTTAGGAAAATAAAGACAACACCAGAAGACCTTTGTATCATAGAAGATTCTTGAATTTCCTTGGACAACTGATGGCTGTTACAACTCAGTGTATTGACTAAATCATACCGACCTTCTCTAAAGAAATTAGAGGAAAAAAAATCTGAGAAATTCTAGAATTCTTTGGAAAAAGAAACAGATAATAGAAATTTATGGGCTGTAGTTTTTCTTCCAAAAACTAAGGCATGTAGTGTTTTTGAGATCCATTTTCCCACTTAATAGGCAGAAGTATGAAAGTTGTCCTTATACTACTGTAGGCACACTGAGGTTTTAGAAGCTGCAAATGTCACTGCTCAATTCATTTTATGGTGTTTCTTTTATAAGCCATAAGCCATTAAGAAAGATTGAAAAGAGTAATGTGTTTCTGAAGAATTTGTTCTTGAACATGTTTTTTAAGCGTAGAACATTGTTGTGCCTCAGACATAGCACATTTGAGAAGTCAGCTTTTTCTATAGGAATGCTTGCCAGGTGCATGCAGGGATCTGAGAAAACTAGTTTTTGCTTTGTGTGGGTTGCCTTTCCCTGCTAAGCATATTGAAGGAGCACTTAGGAGTGTGAGGTCTTGGTTCCTCTATTCCTAATGCTGGGAGATCCTGCAGAGAGAGGTTTGGTGGATAGTTCTTTTGTTCTTCTTCTTCAGATAAGGGCTGCTATTTTTTTCTGACGGTATTTAGTCTTTTGACTTTCTTTTCCTAGTGCAGAGATGAAGACTTTTGACTGGACGTAAGTCAGAGCAAGAAGTCTCTTTGGTGTAAACCTCTCTCTCCTACTAACCAGTCAGTCTTCTCGAGTAGAGATGACTCGCTGAGCAGTCAGAACTTCTATTTTTCCTGTCAGAAAACACTCCTGTGTTTGACTGTCTATTAGTATGACGGGGAAGGAAGGTGGTAATTCTCAGGTCTTGGCCACCACTGAAACCTTGTCAGGCAGTTACGATTAGCTTGATTATTTAATTACTTTTCCAGCACTAAGAATAAGTATTGCTTCAGAGTGGAGAACAGAGGAAAACTACAGGTGTCCCTTCAGCAGAGTGACAAGGCTTTTTTCTAGTCTAGCCTTTTGTTGTTTCAGCAATGTTTCCAGCTGTGCTACTTCCTTGCTGCCAAGTAGTAGTAAATAGCTGTATAAATCACAGTAATGCTCGTACCATTCGGGTACAGCTGATTGCTTTTTCACTCTAATGGGTGTGCATATGCTTATTCTCATATTTCAAAGTTAATTGTTAATATTTCTGTAAAAGGAATATAGCTTTGGGAATTGAGAAACAGACACTTTAGAAGTGCTTCATCTTCGAACTTTGGACTTCATTCCTCACTTGAAGCATACGCAGGGTTGTTTAAATTGTATTTTAATTTTATTTTCTCCCAGACTCTCTTCAGAACTAGAATTCGGTAGCCATGGCCTGCCTGACCCAGAGGGCAGTCAGTAGCTGTGCAGGTATGTTTGATTTGGGACAGCAAATACAGACTGCTGCTGTTCTTACTACCTACAGGCAGAGCTCAAAACACTGGAGAGAAGTGGTGATGTGTCTTGGTGCTGGCACTTGTAGCCTGGAGCCTGGAAGAGTTTTGCTGACTGCTGCTCTCATTTCTCAAGAGGGGATGGGTAGGTAGAACGCCCATGTGGATGGCAAGTTCATTGCTACCAGAGAAGGGTGAGTGGAGTAGTGAGGAGACTGGAAAGGACTAGTGTCCTGAGTTGTTTGCTCTTGACCACCTTCATTGTACAGAGCCATAGGTGTGCCTGGCTTTTTGTATAAGTGCAAACGATAGTTTGCTGTAAAAGCTTACACTCAGAGCTGAATGAGATGTGGGACTAGGATAGCTCTTAAGGGTGAAGAAAAAGAAGAATATGTTACATGATGCATTGCTTTGGGTTCTTTCTGATTAGAGAAACGTGTATCTCCATAAGCACTTGCTGACTTGCAATGGGAGTCAAAACAGGTTTTGCTAAAGGGAAAATAATAAACACAGGGAAAATACCAGATCGCTTGTTATCCTTTTGTTCATAGCATACTGAGATGGACCTGAAGTGGAATTCTGGCAGAGTTTCTCGTCCAGCCTCAGCTGCGGTCCGGGTGACTGATTTGAGTTGGCAAGGCAACCTAAATCCCAGTCCACTGATTAAAGATGATGGAGAGCTACTTATGGATGAATACCTTTCCCCCAGGAAACTGGTGAGTACACATTCAGCGTTTTAATGAAGTATCAGAGTCAAACTGGTATATACAGAGCTGTATTAACCTTGCAGCTGCTCTTGTGATGATTGCAGATTGTTGCATATTTGACAATTATACTTCTGCATAAAGTAGATTCCGTCTTATGGAAACTTGTCAAATGTTTGTCCTCCTGTCACCTTGTTTCATGTAAAAAATATTCCCAGCATGAATGCTGCTGTCTTTATTGCCAGTTTTCTTGAAGCAGCGCGAAGAAAAGTACAGGTAGCATAATTATAATTTGAACAGGTCTCATTTATGCCTTCTGAAGTACTTGAATCTTAGCATCAGAAAAAACTTTTTACATTAACCTTGTTCTAGAGATTGGAAATGTAACTTTAAAAGTACAACTTTTTTTCTGAATTAGTGAAATCCTCTGTCCTGCTAAGCAGCCAATTAAAATATTCTGCAAGTGCTGTAAGTACTTTCTGTATGTATCAAAGCATGTGAAAGCTCAAAGCACATTTGAAAGCTGTGTTCCTTTCTGACTGGGGAATATTACTCTGGTGTGCAGCCTGTTAAAAGCGAGTAGCATGCTGAAATCTCTCATGAAGGAATACTTGGTTGCACAGTGTGCTGTATTTCCTCAAGACTAATTAAGGGTGAAATCCTTCAGGACCTTTAAGAGCTGAGAAAATAATCTCATTTAAACCTGCTAAAGGAAGGGAGAGCTGAAAGCAGAAGTTAAGGGGAGAAGCTGCAGCTTTCTGTGTTGCAGAGCTGGATAGAAATTAGTCAAAGACAGATAGGGCCAAGGCTGTGGCTCAGAAGCTCCCAGTGGGCAGGGTGGTGATCGCAGTGTCCATCATCCTCTGTGCATCCACTGCACAGAGAGACAATGTGGAGAGACACTAGCTTCTGCAGGGGGAATATTCCAGCTGCAGGTTTACTCCACTCACTAACTATATACCAGTCACCCTTTTGATCATGAGCTATAGACTACACAGCACATTGCTCTCAGAACTATTCTTCTCTTAGTAGCTAAGTCTTTTAGTGTTTATAAAATGTTTGGAGATGCAAAAATCATTTTCTCCAGAGTGTGTATTTTAAGCTTTCTAGAGAAAAATTGTTATATGATCTTATGATCTATGCCATTTACTTTCCTTTGGCTCGTGTGAAACTCTGACAACTTCTGGGTCTGTTTTTTGGAATCTGGTGTAGAGTTTGACCAGTCTAATGTGTTTGTGGCCTATAGTACCCTGTATAAATCAAATGGGAAGCTCTCAGATTAGTCTGTTTTCTTAGGGCATGAACCAAAGCCCATTAGAGTAACCAAAACAGCTGCTCTCTGACTTCAGTAAACTCTGAATTAAACCCTTAGGAAGTTCTTTCGCTGGCATGGAATTCTTCTCTTTCTGAAGCTCTGCAGCTTTTTGCTCACAGTAAATTGTAAGCAGAAAAGTGTAGGCAAGGCAATATTACCCACATCCTATTAAGCTGCAGTTTATTATTTTGTAATTTTTTTTAAAGTACAGATCAGAAGTTAAATTCTCCCACAGTGCTAGGCTGTTTTTAAAAATGGGAAAAATCCCTTTATTATTCATATGTAACCTCTTGAACTTAATCGAGTCTTGCCTCTGTAAGATTATGTATATTAACATTTGTAAGGAATTCCATTTCAAAGACTCTTCTAAATGGATGCATACTGTCCTACTAATTTTTCTGGACACAGCTATTTCCAGACCTTGGAACTCGACATTTGTGTTGGCATAGCTGTGAAACTTCCTGCTCAGAGGAAAAATTTTATGACATCGTCAAGGAAACATTAGCAATGTTTGTACTTTGTTTTAATAACATATCTAATCTATCTGTTCTTTGACCTTTATGTTGATCAAATGGAAACCACTACTTCCATAAATTTACTTCCTCTGGATTTGCAAATGTAAAAATAGAGACACTGTGCAAACATTTAATGCGAAACAAGTTGTTTTTTGTTTTTTTTTTAAAGAACCACATGCCATTGATAACTAAATGGTTTGAAACGTTGTTTTGCTTGGTACACTTGCAATGTGTTCTTGATTGTTGCTCAGTTGTGAATATTTTAGGAGTTATTGATTGTATTCGCTGAAGTGCTCTGAGAAGGAAACTAATAGATTTTTAAAATACATGCTCATTAAAGTAAAATTATTTCACATTCAAATAAGGGCATAGGCCCCAGTTCTGCAGTGTTGCATAGACAGATTTCTGGACACCTGATGAATGTTCAACGAGGAAGGTTTTTGTTCTGAGATACTGTCCTGGATTTGGCTGGGACAGAGTTAATTTTCCTCCTGGTAACTGCTGTGTGACACCCACCCTGAAGATATTTGTAGGCGTTTATAAGATCCCTTCTCAGCCTTCTCTTCTTTGGGCTAAACAAGCCCAGCTCCCTCAGCCTTTCCTCGCAGGAAGAACTGGACACAGTACTCCAGATGAGGCCTCACCAGGGTAGTGTAGAGGGGAAGGAGAACCTCCCTCGTCCTGCTGGCCACACTCTTCTTGATGCACCCCAGGATCCCATTGGCTTTCTTGGCAGCCAGGGCACACTGCTGGCTCATGGTTAACCTGTCGTCCACCAGGACACCCAGGTCCCTCTCTGCTCTCCAGCAGGTCCACCCCAAGCCTGTACTGGTGCATGAGGTTGTTCCTCCCCAGGTGCAGGACCCTGCACTTGCCCTTGTTGAACCTCATCAGGTTCCTCTCTGCCCAGCTTTCCAGCCTGTCCAGGTCACGCTGAATGGCAGCACAGCCTTCTGGTGTATCTACCACACCTCCCAGTTTGGTGTCATCAGCAAACTTGCTGAGGGTACATTCTAACTCTTCATCCAGGTCGTTGATGAAGAAGTTAAACAAGGCTGGGCCCAGTACTGACCCCTGAGGGACACCACTAGTTACCTGCCTCCAACTAGACTCAGCGCCGCTGATGACAACCCTCTGAGTTCTGCCATTCAGCCAGTTCTCAATCCACCTCACCGACCACTCATCCAGCCCACACTTCCTGAGCTTCCCTAGGAGGATGTTATGGGAGACTGTGTCGAAAGCCTTGCTGAAGTCGAGGTAGACAACATCCGCTGCTCTCCTCTCATCTACCCAGCCAGTCATGTCATCGTAGAAAGCTATCAAATTGGTCAGGCATGATTTCCCCTTGGTGAATCCATGCTGACGACTACTGATAACCTTCTTTTCCTCCACTTGCTTGATGATGACCTCTAGAATGAGCGGCTCCATCACCTTTCCTGGGATGGAGGTGAGGCTGACCGGCCTGTAGTTCCCTGCGTCCTCCTTCTTGCCCTTTTTGAAGACTGGAGTGACAGTGGCTTTCCTCCAGTCCTCGGGCACCTCTCCTGTCCTTCAGGACCTCTCAAAGATGATGGCGAGTGGCTCAGCAATGACATCCGCCAGCTCCCTCAGCACTCATGGGTGCATTCCATCGGGGCCCATGGATTTGTGGGTGTTCAGATAGCTTAAATGATCTCTCACACAATCCTTCTCGACCAAGGGAAAGTCATCCTCTCTGTGGGCTTCTTCTCTTACCTCCGGGGCCTGGGATTCCTGAGGGCCGGCCTTGGCACTGAAGACTGAAGCAAAGAAGGTATTCAGTAGCTCTGCCTTCTCTGCATCCTCCGTCACCAGGGCACCCACCTCGTTCAGCAGTGGCCCCACATTTTCCCTCATCTTCCCTTTGCTGCTGATGCACTTGAAGAAGCCCTTCTTGTTGTTTTTGACATTCCTTGCCAGATTTAATGCCAGGTGGATCTTAGCCTTCCTCGTTGTGTCCCTGCATGCGCTGACAACATTCCTGTACTCTTCCCAAGTGGCCTGCCCCTCTTTCCACATTCCATAGACCTTTCTTATTATTATCATTACTAGTAGTAGTAGTATTTACTTCATTGTCTATTAAACTGTCTTTATCTGAACCCACAAGTTTCCCCTTTTGTCCATTTCTCCTCCCCATCCCGCTGGGGAGGAAGGGGAGGGATGAGCAAGTGGCTCAAGTTGCCGGCTGCCAAGTTATACCACAACAGGTATGTAGTCAGCTTTACTCTTTGCCCTTGCAATGTTCTATCTTGCATTAGTTTCAGTTTGAGCTCAGGAGCCTGAAATGTCTAGCTGTGCAGAATCTGTGAAGACTGGGTGCCTTGGATTGCAGCCTGCAGCCTTGTCTCCACCTGCACATTTTACTCATTTTGTCCTTTTCCCAGGGGGATAACAGTCTATTTAGTAGTGAGAACAGTAGCAGTCTACATTAGCAGTCATCATTGTAAAGGACTCTCTAAAAGGTGTGATCTGATTTCTTTGCATCTTTCTTTTTGTGTACAGGGGCAACTGCTACCGGCACAGGTTGGTTTTT